GACAGACAGGTAGGAAAGTCAACTCGTTCCGAGCATTTTGATTGGACGAACATTTCTTGGTCCTACGCCTTCCACAGAATATATAAATACAGATAAATACATTTAGACCACTTAACTTAATGATTGCTATCGGGATGTGAAGTGACTTTCAACCAGCATAACAAAAAATGTTTCTGAAGACAATCACCTATTGCACCTTTAAGTTGCCCTTAACAGTTTGTCTTTAAAATGTATCCACCATTCTAATTTTCTATTCAAATTCATTCATTGCAGTTGGTCCGATTTATATGAAATTTGGTGTGTATCATCTAGAGATGCTGCTGACAAAAAGTTTTTGATTCATTTAATCATATAGCAAATACAAGCTGGTAAGTCTTTGGGTGTGGCCAACAATAACTAAATTACCTAGATGTTGTAATTTCAACATCTGAACTGCATAGAAATGGACAACAGGACATTATAAGGAAACCTGCAAAGTTTCCTGAATTGTCATTGCAAGAAGGCACTATAAGTCAGCACAATCCTAACATTGCAACTCCAACCAAAGAAGTTTTTCAGAAATGGGCTATTTTGCAACAGCAGGTGTTCATGCCCTGAGGAAGTAGGAGGGAATTGTGACAGGAAATACTGGTTTGTTATAAAATGCTAGCAGGGGTCAGTTGTAATGTTTAGGTATAATTGCAGGTTCTGCAGTCCTCTCAGTTGTCATGTTTCTCCTCCCCCTCGTTTTCCTTCCACACACACACTCTCTTTAGCGCATGTGTGAGTCAGCAAAACGCTCGCTTAAATGCTGGAGCTTCATGGCCAGTGGAAGTGAGAGCTGCTGTTACATCAGCATCATGCATGAAAGATGATCCTGACTGAAGCAGGCAGAGAAGAACGAGGTAAATCATTGTTTTGTAGGCTACTTGACTGTGTTTGAGCAATAGTGGAAGAATGTCTTAAACTATTAATGTGTGTGTGTTTGTGTGTGTGGGTGGGTGTGTGCAGATGCAGCTCCTGCAGTGTTGTGGCTCCTGAGGCAAGATTAGGCCTGTACAGGCTAAATGTGTGTCAGCACGCATGCCCTGTCACACCTCATCATATGTGTCCAAAGGTCTGTTATGCCTTGTGCAGTTTCACTCAGTAAGACGATTAGGGGGAAAGCAGCTGGAAGAAGGAGTGAAACAACATTACTTCTGTATTAAAAATAACGGTAGGCTCACCTTTCATTTTTACAGCTTTTGCTCTCATATGTTGCATGTTGTTGTAAAATGTGAGACAGCTTCATTGAATTCACATAGTTTGACAGAACAACAGAACACTTCATTCTGAAGGAAAACAGCAAAACTCCCTCTAGCAATGGAGCTTAATAAACTAATACCATGGTAACATGTTCTTAAAGGGATACACACATGGATGAACATTCGCCAAATGAGAGTAAACATAGACGTAATAAAGTTGGCCATAGTAATCGGCCAAAACTTCATTGTAAACTGCAGTATTACAGTTTGCATGGAATTCTAGAAATGTGATCTATGAAAGCCACAGACATACAAACCGCCTACTAAAGAAAAGTGTTTTTGACTCGCACGACGATCAGATAAGTCCATCTATGATGATCTATGATCATTTTTTTTTGTGTGGTGACAATATGTGGTGACACACATATGGAATATTCTTCAGATTCATTAAATATAAAGAACATTTTCCTTAAACACTTCCACATCAGTGTTATTTTAATATAATTTATATACTACTATTAGTTTTTATTTTAATAGCTTCTTTTTCATTTTAGTTAATGTTTTAGTCATTTTGATGTGTCATTTTTGCTAGCTTTTTAATAACTAAATCGAGTTTTTATTACTTTGTATTTCGGTTTTAGTTATTTTCGCAGGCTACTTCGAATTAAACTAAACCAAAATGAGAAATGTTGCCTTTAAAACAAAATAAAATGAAAAGTTTTTTTAAAGTATATATTTTATTAAAATATTTATTTTCATCTACCCGTTAATGTTCAGTAAATAATTGTTGTTCTCAACCCCAACAATTGTCTTTTGTAGCTTCTTTTTCATTTTAGTTAATGTTTTAGTCATTTTGATGTGTCATTTTTTCTAACTTTTTAATAACTAAATCGAGTTTTTATTACTTTGTATTTCGGTTTTAGTTATTTTCGCAGGCTACTTCGAATTAAACTAAACCAAAATGAGAAATGTTGCCTTTAAAACAAAATAAAATGAAAAGTTTTTTTTAAGTATATATTTTATTAAAATATTTATTTTCATCTACCCGTTAATGTTCAGTAAATAATTGTTTTTCTCAACCCCAACAATTGTCTTTTGTTCTCATTAACAGTGCAGTTTTCAGTCTGTTGTGCCAACCATGCAAAATGTCAGTATGTGACCCTTGTTCTGTTTACCTCTGCTATGGGATTATGAATGACGGTTTTGTTGTTTATTAACTCTCATCAGTTCTACAAATCATCAATCAACTACATAATAATATGAAACCATCAGTTTAAAATAAAAAAAATAAGCTATATAGCACGGTGGCCGAGAGAGCTTAACGCGCTGTAAATAAAATAACACATGCAAATTGAAAAACACCAGCAAATTAAGAAAACATCTTTATCAGTTTGACAACACACGCGCTGCAAATACACACAACATCGGAAATGCATAAGGGAACCATGGTTTTACTATTAAAAAAATGGTGGTAAAATGGTAAACGCCAAATACATCATTACTACACTCTACAAATCATCAATCAACTACATAATAATATGAAACCATCAGTTTAAAATAAAAAAAATAAGCTATATAGCACGGTGGCCGAGAGAGCTTAACGCGCTGTAAATAAAATAACACATGCAAATTGAAAAACACCAGCAAATTAAGAAAACATCTTTATCAGTTTGACAACACACGCGCTGCAAATACACACAACATCGGAAATGCATAAGGGAACCATGGTTTTACTATTAAAAAAATGGTGGTAAAATGGTAAACGCCAAATACATCATTACTACACGTTTACTATAATAAAACCATGGTTCATTTTCGTAAGGGTTGTTGGGGTCCCCTTGAAACATTTCCGTTGTGGTCTATGCAATGCTTTTCTCTATTTGGTCATGTCGTGAGTATTTGCAGCGCGTGTGTTGTCAAACTGATTAAGATGTTTTCTTAATTTGCTGGTGCTTTTTCTATTTGCATGTGTTTTCTTAAGTCGCAGCGCGTTGAGCTCTCTCGGCCACCGTCATATAGGGGTTAGTGCAGGTTAATTTGAATTAATTAAAAACAAAGGAGAACATGTTTACACTAACGCACTTAATGGAAGTCAAATTTAACTGGTAACTTTCACCATGCCATAGAGCTCGATTTGTACTGGCCACACCTCTTTCTCACCCACTGAGGGAGATTATTTGCAAATGCAAATTGAAAAATGGTAGGCTAATAAAATCTGTTTAATACAGTGTCTCTACCAATAACAACATCCAATAGACTATGAATCAGTATTCGAATCACTGCACGGGCTCATGATATAATAATTATTGTAGACAGACAATAAAATACTGCCTTGGCATTTGAAAACTCAAATAGTGTTATTAACTTTCTGTTGTAGATGGCATTGGCGTTCCTGCCAGCACTGGCTCGTATGGCCGTAAGCGGCGGTACTCATGGAAACGAGCTGTCCGGTGTGTATGTGGTGCAGGAGATGGAGCAACAGCGGAAAGAGACGGGAGAGCACGCGTGGCCGATTCCCATTACAACCGTGCTGTCAAACCCACGGGCTGTGAGAGAGTGCAGGAGATACATTGACAGGGATATAAACCGCTGCTTCAACAGAGCCACGCTGAGGTGAGATGTGGAACTGCAGCATGGAATGTTGGAGCGTATAGCCTTCTGTATATTATATTCGTATGTACTCGTGTTAATTTCGTTAACGAAGACTATGACGAAAAATGTTCTTTGACGAGTTTTTTTCCCATGACGAAGACGAGACGAAGACGACAATGAGGTCAATAAACGATAACTAAGACTATATCAACATGCAATTTCGTTGACGAAATAAGACGAGACTAAAATGTATTAAAAAAGATAAAAACTTTACCAAAAACCTCTTTATTTTCGTCAAAAAAAGGAGACAAAATGTTTTTGCAGACTGCTCTACACGCCTCTACTAGCTCTACGAGCTTTCATGAGTGCGGTTGCCAGATATCAAGAGTTCTAATCCCCGAATCAGAGCTTCGCTGTTAAATTCATACATCTTCTGCGCGGTGTGTTTTGCTTATTTTAAGCAATCTAAGCAATCTGGCAACCATGCGCACGCGCTCACTCCTCGTTGCGGAAGCGCCGCCGCAGATGATCTGAAAAACAAACAAGCTATCATTACGATTATAATTTTGAGAAAAAAAAATCATTTTTATCAGTTTAACCATTATACAGAATGACGAAAATGTGACTAATATTTAATTGACTAAAAAACCTGACTAAAATGCGTATACATTTAATTGAATAAACAAAAACATGACAAGTTTGTCTAAATATGATAACTAAAATGTACATTTGAGTAAGACTAAGACGGTCTTGGTCAAAATTAATACTGCTGTACTGTTCATTAATAATAATCTTATTGCTAAAATGTCAAGTTTTCATTGACTAAAACTAGACTAAAATACTTCAGGTTTTCTTCGACTAAAACTAGACTAAAATACTTTAGATTTTCTTGGACTAAAACTAGACTAAAATGTTGAGACTTTTAGTCGACTAAAACTTGACTAAAACTAAATAGGATAAGGTTGACTAAATATGATAAAAACTAACAAGGACATTTTAGCCCGGGACTAAGACTAAGACTAAAATGAAAATAGCTGACAAAATTAACACTAGTATGTACGCATTATATACAGACGTTACGTTAAAAAATAGAACTGAGAAGGTTCTAAATTCTAGGTCTATTGTTTGATTTGAATTTGGCCATCTCAACCATTTTGACATTTGACGACCACTGATGCAGACCAGCCTAAAAATATAACTTTTAAAGTTAGAAAAATACCTTTTTGTCATTCTTATTATTTAGGGGTCTTGTTCCCCTCAGTGTCTGTGGTGGTTATGGCCCTGAGTTAAGTAGATGTTGACATGTGGTGCAGCACCACAAAAATTGCAAAGCGAGTAAATATATTTCAACATGCAAATATGTTACTGCATAGCTCTAAAATCCTCTGTTTCTTGCAGTTCTCCTATTACAGACAGCAGCCCGTATGAAGTCCGGCGCGCTCAGGAACTGAACAATCTGCTGGGGCCGAAAGGATCCACAGATGCAATGGACTTGATCTGTGACCTTCATAACACCACGGCTAACATGGGCCTCACACTGATCCATTACACGACCAGTGACTGGGTGACTCTGCACATCTGCAAATACTTACAGGCAAGAACATCACAAGTGTGCTTCAATAAACACCATACTGGAAACCAAGGTCAGTCGTTCTCAACTGGTGGGAGGTTTGACCCAAATTTGGACAGACAACAAAGGGAAAAACAATGGTAAATGCAAAAAATAAATTGCAATTTAGAAGCAAAAATAAAAAAGTAATAGTTAGGAGAGCAAAATAAATAAATACACGAAAATACCCAGTGATGTAATGTATTCTGACTACTTTTGGATTACTTTTAGATTACTTTTGACCTAACTTGTTTATAGATTTAAATGGGATTATTGTTATAGAAAAAATATATATGACCATTACCTGGCATCAGAGAACATGCAAATGTGTTGTTAAATTATTTGTAGTATTACCTTTAAATCTCAGGGGGGCTTCAAGTAAATATTTTAGGTCAGAGGGGTTTGACTGACAAAAAAGTTTGGGAATCCCTGCATCACAAGAACAAACATAAAAGCATGAAAACAGCACTGACATGAACAAAGCCTTCCAGGTTTTAAATAATTTTGTGAGTTATACATCAGAAGTGTTTAGTAACTTGCGTAATTCGTCTCATAAATGGAATAATTGACTGAAAGGTGCTTTTGTCCCCAAATTCAGATGCATGGATTGCAAATTAATTTACGTGACATTTACATGGCCATTATATATTGTGAATACTCACTGTATACAGTAGAATATTTCTTAAGAAGTAAAATATAAGAAAAAAAAAAGAAGAATTAGGGAGAATTAATTATGGATAATTTACTGCCATTGTTTGAATGAGTTGTAATCATGTAATCCATAAAAAAGTAACTGTAATCTGATTATGAGCATTTTAAAAACATTATATAATCTAATTACAAGAACTTAATTTTTGGAATCTGATTACGTAATCCAGATTGCATGTAATCAGTTACTACCCAGCGCTGAAAATACCCAATATTCAGTGTAAATTATGGGTCCTGAAGAAAACCAGTTAAGAGCCACAGACCTAGGTTTTTGTTTATGTGCCATTTTTGTGTTTTGATGTTGTGTGTTGTCATGTACACATTTAAGACTAAGATAACCAAAGTGCCTGTGAGAGTGCTGGTACTGGATGTCCCGATTAGTGATGCTTATTCCTTGGAGTCTGTATCCAAGCATGGCTTTTGTAAGTGATGGTGATCATCTCATTGCATTTGCTTTGTGTACTCAACTACAAATGCACATTCAGATGACCTGTGTTTCTGTAGCAATAGAGGTCGGGCCGCAGCCGCATGGTGTCGTCAGGGCTGACATCTATACCATTATGAAAGAGGCCGTCGACTTGACAATCGACTGGATCCACAAATTCAACTCAGGTACTGTTAGACCTAATCAGACGTGGCTTATATTTTTGTGTCGTAAGTGTGTTTTATATCAAACTATGTTGTTTTCAGGAACGGTGTTTGAAGGCGGGGATGTGGAAGCCTTTAAGTTTATCAAAAGTGTGGATTATCCCAGAGATCCAGAGACTCGGACTCTCACCGCTGCCATTCATCCTCAGCTGCAGGTGCCAGTCATGCTGCTATTTATTATATTTACACACAGAGTTAGCAGGAACATGTCCAGATGATAAGAAAATTAAGTTTATTTTAGAACCAGTTACTTTCTTTTTATCCATTTTTATTACAGTAATGGCAAAGTATTAATTTATCATGGTAGTATTTGTAGTTTTGCTTTTTTTTAATGGGAATTATACAAAAAGGGAAAACGTAGATGTCTATATGCAAATGTGCTTTGCAAATTACAGAATGTCGGAATGCAATAAATTTAATGGGATTGAAAATATGCAAAATATAATTGATTTTCTTGATTTGGGGTCAAATGTGACCTAGATAAGTTTATGTGAAATACACCCAAAATCTGAACTGTTTTTCATTGTTGTTTTTGTTTTTTCTAGGACAGAGACTTCTGTCTCCTCAAGCGGGGAGACCCTTTGTTTTTGTCATTTTCTGGAGAAACTGTGAAGTATGAAGAAGAGCCACTTCATCCTTTCTTTATCAATGAAGCTGCCTACTATGAAAAGGAAATCGCTTTTCACTTGGGAAAAAAGATGATGCTGACAATTCCATCAGTGCAGGTGCAGAAAGACTGAAGGATGAGAGAGGAGAAGATATTAAACTCAGCACAATTACCAACACCAATCAGATGATTTTAAAAGAATGTCACTCAAATTATTTTAACAATGACTTATAACTCAGGTACACTGCATACTTGTTTGTAGCTATATGACAATGAAAGACTCATTTTGATCTGCTGCTAAAACACAAGCAACGGTGTTCTGGATGAAAAGATATTTATTGTGACCAGCAAAATGTTCACTTGACAGGAACGTGTACAAAACTGTATAAAAAAGGCAAAACCATCTGAAGTATTTCAGACACCATCGTGATGTCACAGTGGGCTGTGGAGTGTGAGGTATCCTCTTGATTGTATTGCTCATATGCTGTTGCTCTCGCCTGACTGTTTTGAGAAAATTGAGCCTCTCGTGGGCTCGGAACAAAAAGATTAAATAAAAAGCACACTCACTTGAAAAAAACATGATCTCAAATACTACAACACGAAGAATAAACCACATGACACAATGAAAGTAAGTGAAGCTGGATGTGGACGGTGTGATTTTTACCACTGGTACAATTTTTGCACAATATGATCCCAGTGAAATCTTGAGTAAAATCTACAACCGACTGCAAGTCATCAACAGATTTTTACATCAAAGTGTGCATGACATACGTGATGAATGACAGCAGCAACTGGAAGTTTTAAGTCACTCGTCCACATCATTTGACATTGAGCCTTTGCATTCATTTCACCAATGTTTTGAGTGTCAGTTTTGGCTTTATATGCACTAATTTTCTTGTCATATTGTCTATGCAATCGTAAACCGCTGAGAAAATCTACAAAGTATAACAAAAACATCATGGTGAAAAATCACATAACGTGCACCAGCTAAATGTTTTATATGAAATATAAATAAGTATATAACCAACCACAGCTGAGATGGTTTTAAATTGCAACCTGAACCATCACAAAACATTGGATTCTAAACAAAGTTACTAAACAAGTGTAAAGTACATAAAGATTACATTCTCAAAGAGAAACTAAATGGTAAACAACAGAGTAAAACCAATGCAAAGCACAAGAAAAAATAATAAATAAGCAAACCAAATGATCAGGGAAAGAAACAAAAGGCTCGAGTGGTTAATGATTATGACAGAAACAAACATTCAGTCTTTCAGGCCAAGGCAAAACCCTATTGCATCTTGGGATTGCGAAGCGCTAAAATACAATCACTTCAAGATGTAACCGAGTAGCTACAACACAGGCCGAATAAAAAACACAAAAGGTGTGTTATTTCAAACAAGAGAAGATGAAACTAAACATAACTCATTGAAATTAGTTTAGGTCAACAGGTAAAGTGTGACTAAACAAAAGGTGAAGCCCTGAATAACTACGGTTTAATGTTTATAGATGCTTTTCTGTTGAGCAAGAGTCTGACTGGCTGCGGGTGAGAAGTTGTGTTTCTCATCTTTAACAGCACAGATGCAAAAAGAGTGGTTAAAAAGGCAGTTATATAGTAGTAAGATCCTTCAAGAAATGATTATATTCACAGGAGAGTGCTATGGGTGGGGGGCATTAGTTAACCTGCTAACATTGAGTGGTGTGTTCAGACTGTTTCCTTCATAATTTTAGCTTGATTAGTGGTAAAAGCAGCCGCTGAAGCAAACGTGGCTGTGTGCCTTCTATGAGAGCGGACAATTGCTTCGGTGACACTATAGTCAGTCCTCTATTGCCTAGGCAACCCTGTAGGCTGTCATTCGAGTGTAGTGTTGGCGGTGGCTCCTCGCGGCCCATATGAAGAGCGCAGCAGCCATGATCTGCAGCGGAGACGAGACCAGGGCCAAAAACAAGGACCAGCCCGGAGAATAGTCCATCCCCTCTGGCAGCTCGGATATTTCGTGTATCAAATGCATCCCCGCAAGGAAACAGCATACAGTTGCCATGGAACATAGGCCTGAGAAAACAAAATACGTCAAATTATAATGATCTCTTTTTCTGGGTGCTGTGGAAATGCAGGCATTAGCTGTTATTACTGTCTTACCGGCCAGCAGATGCAGCAGCCCTACAAATAGTGTGGGAGTGATACTGCGGCAAAGGCAGGCGCACACTCCGATCAACGCCGCGAGAAACACCAGCCCCACAGAGACCAGCGGCAACAGGAACTGACACTTCCACAGGTCTGTGGACACAAACATTCAAAACATAATGACAAAGCAAATGACAAAACATCCTGTTGCTCACTGCGGCTGGTTAAGTCAAATACTATATTATATACTATATTATATTATACCAGCCGCAGTGAGCAACAATCATTCATATATGTGACCCTGGAAAAAAAAACAGTCATAAGGGTCAATTTTCTGAAATTGAGATTTATACATCATCTGAAAGCTGAATAAATAAGCTTTCCATTGATGTATGGTTTGTTAGGATAGGACAATATTTGGAAAATTTGGAATCTGAGGGTGCAAAAAAAAATTAAACATCAAAATATTGAGAAAACTGCCTTTAAATTTGTCCAAATTAAGTTCTTAGCAATGCATATGACTAATCAAAAATTAAGCTTTAATATATTTACAGTAGGAAATTTACAAAATATCTTCATGGAACATGATCTTTACTTAATATCCTAATGATTTTTGGCATAAAAGAAAAATTTATAATTTTTACCCATACAATGTATTTTTAGCTATTGCTACAAATATACCCCAGCGACTTAAGACTGCTTTTGTGCTCCAGGGTCACATATAATATATGAATGATTCTAACTTAAAAAAGGAAACATCTCCATAGGACTGTGTCTAGACAATAAACAATTATAAGTGAATGGAATGAGCATTAAAAACAATATTGAGAACTCTTTTCATTGTAGCTATTAAATGGAAAATCATTTTATGACACAGCAGGTTTTTATTATGTGTGCTAATGAAAGAGCTGGGCAATATATATTTAATGTTTTCAATGTCTTCAACATGATTTTAATGGCAATATAAAATTAGGCAGCATCATTTTAACATGTTTTTATTTGGTCATTAAGTTTACAATAAAATGTGTCATATAAATGAAAAGAAATAAAAATCTTCCCAATATTTACACTACTATTCAAAAGTTTGCGGACTGTAAGATTTTTTAAATGTTTTTGAAATTAGTCTCTTCTTCTCACCAAGATTGCATTTATTTGATCAAAAATACAGTAAAAGCAGTAATATTGTGAAATATTATTACAATTTAAAATAACTGTTTTCTATGTGAATATATTTTAAACTGTAATTTATTCCTGCGATGTTAAGGTTCATTTTTCAGCATCATTGATTACTCCAGTCTTTAGTATCACATGATCCTTCAGAAATCATTCTAATATGCTGATTTGCTGCTCAAGAAACATTTATTATTATTATCAATGTTGAAAACAGTTGTGCTGCTTCATGTTTTTGCGGACACCGTGATACATTTTTCCCAGAATTCTTTAATAAATAGAAAGTTCAAAAGAACAACATTTATTTGAAACAGCAATCTTTTGTAACACTTTAAATGTCTTTACTGTCACTTTTGATCAATTTAATGCATCCTTGCTGAATAAAAGTATTAATTCCCTTATATACAACTAGAAATACCCCGGCATTTTAAATGGCAGTGTGTAAATAAAATTGAATATCATCTAATGAAAGCCGTAAAAAGTATAGGTGTATGTACATGATTTAGTCATGACGTACAGGTACGCAGCAGATCTTCTCCGCTGTTAATATTTCCAGGAGATCTGTACTTGGATTCCCACTGCTGTGGCAAAGTAAAGGCCTGGCATTTAGTCACCATTATTGGATCTGGAAAAGAAGGACGCAGAGAGCAGACAAAGCAACATGTAGTTAGCATCCATTTTTAACTTAATGCACAACTAATAAAAATGCATTATCATAAATGACAAAGTGGAACATTCTCTCCTCACCAGGCTCTTTAAACCAGTGCGAGTCTTGGGGCACCAGAATGCAGCGCCACCAGAGACCCAGCGTGCCATTGAGCCGGAACAGAGCGACGCTGTAGATCCTCTCATCCACGTCCTCTGCCTCAAAGTCCTGCCGTAGGGTCTGCAGGTCCGAGCCATTGTTGGCGTCATTGCTGGCCGGCTGGCTGTGGTACTGGTACCAGTGCTGCGTTCCCATGGCAACAGAGAAATAGACGGTGGCAAGCAGGCTCAGCACAGAGCCGATAACCAGCGCCGTGGCATAACGGTTGTCCACCATGGTTTTGAAGATGTAATACAAAAAGACTTTCTGTAGATGGCCGACAATTAACTCTTTAGTAGATGAGTGTGGTGACTGATGTGAGGAGAACGGTCATATCATTTGTATAGTTTTTGGTGACAGAGGTTGCTTTTCATCCTCCTATAATATCCAGCACAGAACGCCAGATCTCATCCTCATGGACGTGATCCTTCTTGAGATCAAATGAAGGGAGTCATCTGCAACAGAGAAGAGTGTGATTAATTCTTAAAGTAGTCAAACAAAGTCATGTTTACATAAGTAACAAGTTAATACACTTTTTACGGAGGAATAAGTCATAGGTTTTGCCAAGGTTTGCCAAAGACACTCCCAGTTTCGAGGCATTTAGCCAGGCAGCTAGACATCCATGAGTCTGTCTATTGCATGACTGTAAAATAATCTGTACTTACTATTGCACAAGCTATTTCTGATAAAAGCCACTAAACCGCACATAACAAATGGTATAACAAAACACTAAATAAAAGATTTCATATAATCAAAAAATTAAAAAAAATTCAATCCAATAAACAAAAAACAAAAAGTGCTCTTTACCAGGTCGATGTGTACGTTATTATTATTATTCAGTTAACTATATAATACAATAATTTTCGCAGCGTTAAAATGCACAACGTAACATTTCTTTCCATGTATAATTTAGATATATTTAACTGACACAATAGATTAATGTTCAATATTTCGTACATTAAAGCTGTTTGACGTTGGCTAGCATGAGAGCTAACAGGCGGATTTTAAGCGACATACTCGAGAATTTCGCGAATAAAAAACAAAGTATTTAAACTTGGAGTGTTCTGTACTTTATATAGCAATGAAACACCTCATGTAGGTTCTTGTTTAAAGCAAAAAAAGCAGTTTGTGATTGCCACTTACCATATTGCTCACACCCTTGGCGCTGACGACGATTCCATTTCCGGTTACGATTACGAATGCTCGTGCTGCACATCACAACCTCAATCCACGCTTAAATTCATCCCCAATATTTAAGGTATTTTTAGTGGAATTTGATTGTTTTATATCTTCTCTGAAATTGTTAAAAAACAGAAAGTCATTAACATGTTTATGTTGACATTATTTTCAGTGCCCGTTACTAATTAATGTCACACTTTGTATAGCACTGACTCTCTTATGCTATGCTCTGTTTGTTATTTGTTCTATTTTCATTAATAATAAAAAAAAAATAAAAAAAAAAGATCAAGAGTTAAAAACTGTGAAAAAAACAAACAAACAAAAAAAAAACCTCAATCCACACAGACAAGGGCACAATCTTCTTCTTCTGTGGATTTATTGGCGGGTCGCATACCAAGGGCACAATCAGCGCGCTCGACGGACTAGATGCGCGTTTGATTCTAGGTTTTAGGTTTTTACACGTCCTGACCAAAACGGAAGGACACAAAAAGATAAGGAACTAAAACGTTTTCTTCTTCACGCTGTCCTTGCCTTTTAAAAGTGGCTTATATATTGTATGCTCCATTTAGTTGGGTCTCAGTCTACTTTCCCTTCAACAACATTTTAGTTTTTGGGGGGGAACCCAGACAATTAGATTCGTATTATTATTTAATATTTTCACATCAACATTATTATTATAAGATATTAGAAACAAAGAAGCAGTATAATGTTTGAAAGAATCGGTGGGTATATGACAATCATTGTCTTTCTGCCATAAGCAGCTCAAATCCTCCTGTTTTTGCATGCCATAAAATTATTATTATTATTTTTTTAATTATATGCATCTGAAAAGGTGAACATGCTTTTGGCATTTCACACCATAAGTGAATCGCTGCTCACTTGGAGATTTCACATATAAAACAAAATTCTTGTAAACCACCCTGCTTGCCTTTAGACCCCTGAAATAAAACAAATGTGAAATCAAATCACCATATATCTCTGATAAAGACCGTTTGTATAAAATAATGCAGTTTATTTCACACACAACCATAGATTTTTGAACTGCTTTAACAGTACAATTAATAGACATACAGTGTACAGATACAAAAACATTCAACATTAGCTATTTCATAGTGATGTATCACAAAGCATGTGGTGTAAAAAAGTCACTAATTTGCAAAAAAAAAAAAAAGGCACTTGACTAAACACCATACCATGTTTGTCAAAATAAAAACGAAGATTTCTATATATATATTCAAAAGAATTAAAAGTGCAAATAATAGAAGGACTTAAAATCAGCTGTAGAAAATCAATATTAACATCATCTTAAAGGCATCTAATGCATTAAAATTACGATCACAGCTCATTTTCTGAGCAGCATTGATACCTGAGAATTACTGTACATGTGCGAGATATTACTGTACATTCACAGTGATCACATATTCCATACAATACTCGTGCATGTCATATCCTTTACAGCTTCCTATTTCATTCCTTCAGATCAGTGAAATGTGTGATGCGAATGTTTTATTCTAAGATCGTTCTGCTCCAGAAGGTCTTGTCTGTTGAGCTACTCTTGAAGAGGCCGGTTGACTTCACAGTGCCGTTTATGACAGGAGTGTCAGTGAACTCCACCGTGCAGGAACCTGAGGAGCAAGGTGACGCCTCCAACTCCAGAACAGTTATGTTGTTCTGGACGGAGGTGCTGAGCAGGTGGGCTGGGACAAAGAGGGTCACCTGTGGCCCACGGGACGGCCAGTAGCGGCCCACGTTAAAACCGTTAATCCACACTTGACCCTGAAATAAAAAGTACGTTATGATCTCTTTATAATTATTCCAGTGCTAATCTATTGGGGATTCTGATCTCTTCACATCGATCAATGGATTTCAGTGAAGCCAAGAGCAGCAGTTAAGACTCCTACCTTCCTCCAGTTGGGAAACTGGATGTATGTGTCCTGAGGGAGGTCAGGAATGCCGTCGGGGATGATGAAGCTGCCAGCGTAGAAGGTTGGAGGTGAAAGAGCAGGAGGAGAGGAGGTGGTGAAGCTGGTGGAGGTGGAGATGAATCCGCTTGATGCCGACAACAGCCCCTCGCGCACTGCTTCATCTATACTCAGAGAGTACACCGTCCAGTTACCCAGAACATCAGCACCCAGAGTCAGATTAAACACCAGACCCTGAGGAACAGAGAGAGGAAAAGAAAAAAAACAGAGATATGGAAAAGGGAAGAAAGGGTATGGAAAATGGTAAAGATGGAAAAAATAGTAATAAAAAAATGAATAAAAATAATAGTTATTATTCTTACAGAAGTTTTAAGAATTTTATGTGCTTTTATCATTTTTATGAATTCGTTTTTTAATATTACTAATATTTAATACTACTACTACTTTACATACATATATATATATATATATTCCTATTTAGGTTTAATTTATTTTCATTTCAGTTTAAGTGTTAATTTTATTTATTTCCAGTTTAATTTTAGTGCTTCAATTTAAACTTATTTCAGTTTCTCATTTTCATTTATTCTAAGTTTTTCAGCTTTATTTTTATATTTTATTTTATTTTAGCCTTATTTCAATTAACAAAAATGTTTTAGAAGTTTGTAGTTAGTAGTTTGTTTTAGTTAACGATAATAACCCTGCTGTGGACATGGCTTGAAAGCTGAGGAATTACAGTCAAATTTTTTCAGTGGGATTTATAGATTTACGCTGTAGAATGTTAGAACGGGCTGGGCGACTGAGAATTAGGGGCCGTTTACATGACAACGTTTTCAGCCAAAAACAGGAAACTTTTTATGCGTTTTGCCTGTTCGTCTACACGACAACGGCGTTTTGGGGACTGAAAACGACTATTTTTGAAACGGGAATCTTTGAAAACGGTGACGTCATGCGCGTGCGTAGTACGTGTTAGGTATGTAGACATGCGCAGTACGTGTCGATTTTAAAGGAAAGCGTGAACAAACATACACAACAATGGCAGAGTATATGGTACTGTTGTTGCTGCTCAAGAGTTTGCTAACGCTTCTTCAGCAAAGTGTGGATTTACTTCACCAATATTACAACCAACAGCGGACACAACATATAATCGTCACTTCCCTACAGGTACTGTTTACTAACAAGGTGACAGCGCCAACTACTGGCCTGGCATACGTAATACAGCGCTTTTGGCCGTTTTCACGGATATGTGTAAACGCGAATCGTTTTGAAAACGTCGTCGTGTATTCGTGAAACTTTTTAAAAAATGCAAGGGAAAAACTTTTCCGTTTTTGACTACATCGTTGTCGTGCAAACGTAGCCTTAGAAAAACAGGAAGTGAATAGGAAAGTTTTGGTTGCCTTGAAGTCATTAATTTCTCTGCCGTAGTTGATTCTGCCCATGTTCTCCACTAGGACGTCCACACGGCTGCCAGCTTTCCCTGTTATATTGATGGTGAGTGCCTTGTTCCTCTCCAAAATACCAGCAGCAATCTGAACAGTAAAAAGATTTATTAAGCACAGGATGAAATTAAACAATTGCACCTGTTCAAAAGTTTGGGGTCAGTAAGATTTTGAAATGCTTTTGAAAGAACTGTTTTCTATTTGAATATATTTTAAAATTTAATTTATTAATGCAAAGCTGAATTTTCAGCATCATTATTCCAGTCTTCAGTGTCACATGATCCTTCAGAAATCATTCTAATATGCTGATTTGATGCTCAAGAAACATTTCTTCTTATTATTATTATCATCAGTGTTGAACACTTGTGCTGCTTCATCTTACTGCCCCAAACTTTTGAACGGTAGTATATAAGAATGTTGTGTTATTCAAAAGCTTCCAATTAGATATAAATTTGTGCACAAACTTTATCTTATGTTAAAATCTTACAGAGCTGTTTCACCATCGCAGCTATTATGATTGAGTAACTCATAGTTCAATAAGACAGTCAACAGAGTAAAACAGTGCTGCTTACACCATCAATGGATATATATGCCCGATCATGGACTCCATTTAGCGGGGACGACAGCGGGGTGGGCTTCAAACAGTTGACAGGTAACACAGTCTGATACAGCATAAAGCCAAAGGCCTGACGAGATAATGAGACATCCATATTCAACGCACAAATAAGACAAAGCAATGAGCACAGAGGGACCATGTAAATAACTAACATTACTGAACATAACTTCACATTTACTGACGAGACGTGACATACCTGATTCATTTCAGTAAATGTTGGTGGGTAAAGAGTTTTTACAGGGCCAGAGAAAGATAATATATCTAAAGACTCTGACACTGTCTTGAGCTGCAAGGACAAAGAGATCAATCACACTTCAGTTAGTAAGAAAAACTGAGGAGTTATACAGAAAACATAATAATGTAAATATCAAAAATCATAAATACATTATAAATCATGTTACAACAGTAGACAGGCAAAGATGCAAAAAACCATTTACCTTCTTCATTTGCACCTGTCCATAAGCAAATTTAGGCATTGATGGAGGCAGCAGTCCTTCTGGTATCTCTTTGTACTGTATAAAAAAAAATAACCAATCAGATCAATTTGCATCATTAGTGGCCATTGCATTTCTCTATCAAAAATCACAATTCTTTTGAGAAATGTGACCCTGGAGCACAAAACCAGTCTTAAGTCGCTGGGGTATATTTGTAGCAATAGCCAAAAATACATTGTATGCGTCAAAATTATCGATTGCCAAAAATCATTAGGATATTAAGTAAAGATCATGTTCCATGAAGATATTTTGTAAATTTCCTACCGTAAATAAATAAAAACTTCATTTTTGATTAGTAATATGCATTGCTAAAAACTTTTCCTATCCTAACAACAATGGAAACAATGGAAAGCTTATTTATTCAGCTTTCAGATGATGTATAAATCTCAATTTCGAAAAAATTGACTGGTTTTGTGGTCCAGGGTCACAAATAGCTAATTTTCCCATTGACCTAATTTTACCATTTTGATGACTTCTCTTATGGCGAAATACTTTTCTGTGAGGTCTCCAGCTTCCGTGAGTGGGGCGTCATAGTCATAGCTGGTTGGTTGAGGACCATAAGGAGAGTTGGCGCCTATAATGCGATTAAAAACATGAATCGAGAAACTTGAAACTTATTTTTGGCTTGTTGAGGTACAAATCTCCAAAACCTACCATTCCAATAGCCAAAGTTAGTTCCACCGATGAACATATATCTTGATAACAATAACAAAAAAATTAAGTCAATTATAAAAATCAATCAATTTCTTTCAAAAGTCAAATATCTCAGTTCAGTTGTTATTATAGGCGACCAACTCACAAGTTGACATTGGCTCCCATTTCCAGAATTTCATTGAGACTCTTGACCACAGCAGCTGTGGGAATGACGACATGTTTCTCGCCCCAGTGATCCAACCAGCCTGTGTAGAACTCAGAGTTCACCTGCAAAAAACAAAACAAAACGCCTTCTTTTCCATTTTCCAGAGCACATTTCTATCTTTTAGAAATGTTTATGCATGAGGGGCATCACATTTTATCACTTTGGATAAAAGCATTTGCTTAATGAATACATGTAAATGTAGTTCAAAGCAGCTTTGCCCTCCAGTGTCTATATATTCAACCAATGATAGGAAGGTTTTTGGTTCTTACCAAAGGCCCACGTGGCTCTGCATGTCTCTGTGCTTCAAAAGCAGCAGTCACATTTGAACCTGCACAAAAATACAACAATGCATTTTTTTATTAAATTCCATAATTTCAGAGTTAAAAGCCTGTAATGTCAGAAGTTAAGTAATTAGCATTTTTTTTAAAACACTTTAAGGAACGTGAAGGTAATTTATAAGTGATATGGGTGATATATAGGATATGCAGACCTGGGCCGAAGTCAACGGTGGCATAGATGCCCTGGAGGGACCCACACTTGAGATAACCCACACCTGCTCCATCTGTGGTGAACAGGACCACCTCTTCTCCCAGATGAGAGCGGAACAGCTGGCTGAGATGCCGCATGTAATTATAATCACAGGCAAAGTAACTCCCATATTCATTCTCCACCTGCGTATGGGAAAAAAAGTATTTATTTGTCCAGAAAAAGGGTGAAAAAATATAAATAAATATGTGTTATTTATTTACATATAGTTCCTTTATATATTTTTACTCTTCTTTAGGATTATATATATA